TGCTCACATGTACAGTAGTGTCTCACTCTGCTCACATGTACAGTAGTATCACTCTGCTCACATGTACAGTAGTATCACACTCTGCTCACATGTACAGTACTGTCTCACTCTGCTCACATGTACAGTACTGTCTCACTCTGCTCACATGTACAGTACTGTCTCACTCTGCTCACATGTACAGTAATATCTCACTCTGCTCACATGTACAGTACTGTCTCACTCTGCTCACATGTACAGTAGTATCACTCTGCTCACATGTACAGTAGTATCACTCTGCTCACATGTACAGTAGTATCTCACTCTGCTCACATGTACAGTAGTATCTCACTCTGCTCACATGTACAGTAGTATCACACTCTGCTCACATGTACAGTAGTATCACACTGCTCACATGTACAGTAGTATCACTCTGCTCACATGTACAGTAGTATCACTCTGCTCACATGTACAGTAGTATCACACTCTGCTCACATGTACAGTAGTATCACTCTGCTCACATGTACAGTAGTATCACTCTGCTCACATGTACAGTACTGTATCACTCTGCTCACATGTACAGTAGTATCACTCTGCTCACATGTACAGTAGTATCACTCTGCTCACATGTACAGTAGTATCACTCTGCTCACATGTACAGTAGTATCACTCTGCTCACATGTACAGTAGTATCTCACTCTGCTCACATGTACAGTAGTATCTCACTCTGCTCACATGTACAGTACTGTCTCACTCTGCTCACATGTACAGTAGTATCTCACTCTGCTCACATGTACAGTACTGTCTCACTCTGCTCACATGTACAGTAGTATCTCACTCTGCTCACATGTACAGTACTGTCTCACTCTGCTCACATGTACAGTACTGTCTCACTCTGCTCACATGTACAGTAGTATCTCACTCTGCTCACATGTACAGTAGTATCACTCTGCTCACATGTACAGTAGTATCACTCTGCTCACATGTACAGTAGTATCTCACTCTGCTCACATGTACAGTAGTATCACACTCTGCTCACATGTACAGTAGTATCTCACTCTGCTCACATGTACAGTAGTATCACTCTGCTCACATGTACAGTAGTATCTCACTCTGCTCACATGTACAGTACTGTCACACTCTGCTCACATGTACAGTAGTATCACTCTGCTCACATGTACAGTAGTGTCTCACTCTGCTCACATGTACAGTAGTATCACTCTGCTCACATGTACAGTAGTATCACTCTGCTCACATGTACAGTAGTATCTCACTCTGCTCACATGTACAGTAGTATCACTCTGCTCACATGTACAGTAGTGTCTCACTCTGCTCACATGTACAGTAGTATCACTCTGCTCACATGTACAGTAGTATCTCACTCTGCTCACATGTACAGTAGTATATCACTCTGCTCACATGTACAGTAGTATCACTCTGCTCACATGTACAGTAGTATCACTCTGCTCACATGTACAGTAGTATCTCACTCTGCTCACATGTACAGTAGTATCTCACTCTGCTCACATGTACAGTAGTATCTCACTCTGCTCACATGTACAGTAGTATCACACTGCTCACATGTACAGTACTGTCTCACTCTGCTCACATGTACAGTAGTATCACTCTGCTCACATGTACAGTAGTATCTCACTCTGCTCACATGTACAGTAGTATCACACTGCTCACATGTACAGTACTGTCTCACTCTGCTCACATGTACAGTACTGTCTCACTCTGCTCACATGTACAGTAGTATCTCACTCTGCTCACATGTACAGTACTGTCTCTGCTCACATGTACAGTAGTGTCTCACTCTGCTCACATGTACAGTAGTATCTCACTCTGCTCACATGTACAGTAGTATCACACTGCTCACATGTACAGTACTGTCTCACTCTGCTCACATGTACAGTAGTATCACTCTGCTCACATGTACAGTAGTATATCACTCTGCTCACATGTACAGTACTGTCTCACTCTGCTCACATGTACAGTAGTGTCTCACTCTGCTCACATGTACAGTAGTATCTCACTCTGCTCACATGTACAGTACTGTCTCACTCTGCTCACATGTACAGTAGTGTCTCACTCTGCTCACATGTACAGTAGTATCATCATCACAGTAAAACATACTGAAAGTATATTGACTCGTCTTGTGTAGTGAGTTCCTACTGTGCAGTAACTTGTGATCCCTCAACTGGAAGGAACAAAGGATTTCTATATCTCTACAAACAAATGGATTTGTGTGTATGGAAGCCTGTTTCCGCTATGTAAAAAAAAAATAATAATAAAAAGCTGACAAACTCATTTCAAGTTTTAAGTTGCCCTCCGTAAATCATCGTCATCAGCACGAGTTTGATTGTAGAAGATGTAGATCCTGTTTCTTTTATAACTAATATGATTAGTTAATCTAATATGAACAAGATGGCACAGTTGTTGGTACAGAAGTACTTTGGAGATGCTCCTTGAGCGTGTCACAGTTTAGATTTATTTCCTGTTTTATTTTGTAGTTTGTTAAATCCCTGTGTCTTCTTTAGTGTTACTTCCTGTGTGATGCCCCGCCCTCATGTGTCTCATATGTGTCTCGTTAGTCTTGTATTTAGCCCTGTGTGTTCCTTCACTTCCTGTTCCGTCATTGTCATCCCTCGTCTGTTTTAGTTCTGTCCTTGTTCCCTGTGTTTTTGGATTTGTTTTATATTTTGGTTAAATCCATTATTTTTTGCAGTTTTGCATTTTGGGTCTACTTATTATTCACGAACGTGACAGAGCGGGTTCTAATCATAAACGGCCTGTGGAGGATTAATATCAAAACACATGCATGTTTTATTTTATTTTGACCAATTAAAGCCCAGACTCTTTGAGCAACAATCTGAGGAAGTAACACTGCAGATAAGAGTGAGGGTCATTGAAAAGTTAGTTAAACCCCGTAGAAAGGGCATTCTTTCAGCCGTGAATAAGGAAAGGTTTAACAAATCAATGTCCCAACATTATTGCAGGCTACTTCATGGATGCAGTGACAATATCTTCAACATAACATGGAGGCAAAGACGGCAGTAACTGCACATGCACAGTTATAAACTCGGATTTGTTTTGTTTTTTACATGGCAGAAACAGGCTTCCAAGCATGCCAGTTTCATTGTGGCAAGTTCTCGTGAAATGTTGTTCTTTACAAGCGCATGGTTATGTTTGCACACCATCCATCTTCTTCCCCTTAATCCATTTCTGGGTTGGGGGGTGGCAGTCAGAGCTGCACCCAGTCCACAGCACCAGCCCCTCACTGATCCTCCTGCAGGGGGTGGGTCCACAGGAGCCTTGATCTTCAGCAGGGGCTCCAGGCAAAGAGGGGTTAAGTGTCTTGCGCAAGGACACAACGACAGCCGCCATAAGGGGGAATCGTGAAGTATGTCTTATGGTGGGCTCAAACCCATGACATTCAGGCCCAAAGGCCAATGCTCTACCAACTGAGCCACTGTCGCCCCTAAAATAGTTTTCAAATTTAACCCCTCCCCCTGGTGGTAGCATAGGGAGTTTCAGCTGGAAAGCTGTTAAGGGGTCGCGTTACAATGCAAAGTCAATGGTGACGCATGTTATAGTATGTTATGTTAAGTTATGTTATAGTCCAGCGCAGCAGACGCGATGGGTACAGCCACTCAACGCATCCAGCGAATGCAGGAGATAAACATGGTTGAACTTTTCGCCGGACGCAGGTGCAGCAACCAATGAGAGAGCAGCAAAGTGATCACGAGAACAATAGCCAGGTAGAGCAAGAAGACGAAGACACACAAAAACAAGCAAAACGAGGGTTAAACCGGGACTGACAATGTGAGACTCGTGAGTTCTCATTCTCCCGTGACTGTAAACAAGTGCTGCTAACATGTTCACCGAAACGGAAGTAATGGTTAATAATATAATACATCCAACTTTTATGAGCAGATACTGCTGTAATATGTCTCTGGAGAAAAAAGCCGCTAGCTTAAGCTCGTTGACATCAAAGCCCGCCCACCACTTCCGCCCTGCGTTTTGCGGCATTGCAGGACGGTGTGAACGCATCTTAAGCCTTCACACTTACAATATATTTTCTACTTAAGTTATTATTTCAGTTACTTAGGTAGAAAACATGGCATAGTTTCATTACCATTTTATTGGCCAGAAATAATTTTATATTTTTGTATATTTGAGCTTGTAGTGACCACTCATTAATTAGAACAAGTAAAGCCTCTTATTTGATCTTTGAAGCAAATTTTTTAACTGTGTTCTTTTTAATCCTCATTAATAAAAAACATTTCCCAATTATTGGCACAAAGCCGATACTCAAAAATATGAAACAATGACAAATCCTTACACTATTATGTAATAGACAGAGTTTTGTGCTTGCTTCGAAATTATTTATGGGAATGACTGGAGTTTTTTTGCTTATAAACCCAAGACACACAACTTTCAGTCAAAATACATAGTACATTGTATGATGTGTGGTGTGGTCTTAGATCAGCACCACTACTAAAATACTTAATATTAATTTCCGTTGCATAGTATTAAGATTTCTTCCGGGAAATTAATATATTTATCATATAATTTAACATGTTTGTCCTTGGTTAAGGTCAAGGTGCACTATGTATCCTCGTAGGATACCACGCATCAGGATGCATTTGACCCATCCTGATGCCACTAGGCGTCTATCAGGAGTAGCATCAACCAGCAATTAAATGTAAAAATACCTATGTTATTGTCTTTCTGCAATTTGAATTTTACGGATTGTACGGATCAGCGGCCGCTCACTCCCCACTCTCCACAAACGTTGCCGGTGAATGGATGGAAATTAGCCCAAGGCAACAATCTGGTTTATTTACAACACCAGCTGTTCATTAATGCACAGTCTGTCCCAAATTATTAATGATTTCACATCCTCATGTTTGAGGCTGAAGTTTCAGGTTTATAATAGCCACAGACACATGGATGATCATGTGTGTTGTTTAAGCTCTTCCACATCCTGTTTTCATGATGACTGTTATTGGTGCCGGACGATGGAGGCTGCAGTGCAGGGGTCCACCGCCCGTGAACTTTGAGAGCTGGAGGAGTCGATAGTTGTGCCTTGTCGATTCGGCCTCACACCATGCGCAGCCGCCTATGATGGTTGAACTTTTTAATGCCAGAGCGGCTGGATTCTTGCACTCATTAATACAAATGTGACTGTGGAGGAAATAAGTACAGCGCCAGTCCGTATTGATTTCCTCGGCTTACAGTGCAGGTTGCCAGGACCAGATAAGACGCTTCAGTTCATGAGCTAAAATATGTTTCCCTGTTGTATTTGACAGGTGTTTTGTATTTTTCTTATTATATCAGAAAAAGTTTTACTCATTTTAACACTATTTTAAAATAAATCATTTATCGTCGACACCATCAATATTCTACCTATGTTTACATTTCACTAAAAATATCCATAGTTATTAAAGCATATTGAATACCTGCATGTTGAACATTGGTGATGCATGTCAGCTTCACACACATCATTAAGTCATCTGTGTTTGTGTAGGTCAGGAAGAATTAGTTTAAACCACATGTAAGGGCGACAGTGGACAGTTGGTGGAGTATTGGCCTTTGGGCTCAAAGGTCCTGGGTTCAAGCCCACCACGAGACCTTCTCCACCGCCTCCCACTGAGGCCTTCTGTCATTGTGTCCTTGGGCAAGACACTTAACCAACTCTGCCTATAAGGAGCGCGGAAGTGATGTTCGCTGCATGCCTTGATGTGTTTATGTGTATGTACTGTGTGTGTGTATGCATCAAACTGAATTTCCCCCTTTGCGGCACGAATAAAGGACGTTCTTCTTCTTCTTAAGTGCTGCGCATTTTCCTTCGGGGAGTTCTCCCAGTCCAACTTTTTCTTAACTATAGTGTAACCTAATGTGATTAATTCACATTCATGTTTTACCCCCTGTGGACTGCCTCCTCTCTGTGGTAGGGATTCAACCATATAGGTTTTCCTATATGGTTCTCCCAAGGACAGAGATAAATTAAAGCTCCTAGTCTGGGGCCTTAGGAGGCAATGGTCCCCTCCAGTGGATCACCTGCAGGTTCTATGAGGACCGGGGCAGAACGCACTGGGCACTGGGAAAGACTGCAGCGTCTCTGATCCCTAAAGCAGAACAAAATGAATGGATATATGGAACAACACTGAAAACAACCCCAGCTCTGTAAAAGGTAAAACAATGAAATGCACACGATATGTCCTTTAAGCCGAGTAGTCAACCATGATGTGATCATTAATGTAGAAGATTCCTACGGATGACTCACACACAGAAAAAGAAGAATAGACTCCTAAAAGTACCGTCCGAGTGGTTTAGTTTCCTTCAGGTTGTTTTCATACTGTTTTCATCCATGTCTAAAGGGAGTAGTGTAAAAAAGCAGTCCGTGAAGGTTGTATCCTCTGAATTCCTCCGTGTGTCGGCGTGCTGACGTTAGCGCTTCCTTCCGTCCTTGTGGTCGACCGAGGCTAATCTACATGATGTATGTTTAATGTGAGCACAGTGTAAGTAAGCACGCTTCCCTTTGAATATGGTATCTTCAAGATGTGCTGAACAAAACCCCAGATCATGGCAGTAAAACCATACATGCAGAACAACATTATTTATTTTACCTTTTCTACAATATATTTCATTAACGTTTTTGTTTGCGCCAATTTCAAGGACACCATTATAGCATGTCAAGTCAATAAGATGCATTAAAACATCCACAGGCAAGACGCGTATTGGTTTTGGCGTCTGCCTGAATGATCGGTGGTGTTTGGAGGGGACGATTCAGTCAGTCTGTCCCAGGGCAGCTGTGGTTTCAATTGTAGCTGACCACAGTGTCTCAATGTGTATAATTGTGGGATTTTGGGTACATGCACACAATTCAAGTTTGTAGTGGCTTTAATTGCCATTCATAAAGGATTTTTCTGACTGAGGTTTACATGATGGAGTGGCACCTGGCCTTTATTCCTAGGAATATAAAAAAGGGTAAAACAAAAAGTTAAAATTGTGCTGATAAACAGGTGTCTTTGTCTCTACAAATTCTTTTGTCTGTTGAGTGAGTGAGAGTTTGGTTTATAGCAATTGCTTCGTCCAACCCCTTTTCAAACCGCGTAGTATATTCGATGGATCTATGTTGTAGAGACACAAAACAAGAATTTCAAACTTGATTAGCACTAATTGTGACACGTATGTTTTGAAAATACGTACATACATATTGCTTGCACACTATGCATTCCAAAAATATTATCAATATTTTGTTACATGATAGTGGTCAGCAATAACTGCAGGTTTCATTATAGAGTGTAAATAACATCCTAAAAATATCTTGCATGAGGAACTATTAAGAGCTTTGGCTGCTATGAAAGGCATTGATTACTTGGAGGTTCTTTGGTCGAAAATCCTATTGATTGAATTTTGAGACAAAGTGACTTCACCTTCATAGTGGCAGTGTAAAAAGGACGTTATATTGACGTTTGTGTGCCTCTCCTAAGATTGCCAATACATTGATGTTTCTTTCAAAACCAAAGCATGAAATGTGTGTTTTCCCTCACTGACAGTTTATTTCCTAGTCGCCCGCGGCACACGGATGCAGCGATGCCCTGATGCTAAATGATTAGTAGTGTGCGCATATACACTCCTCCTATTCCACGCCTCTGTCCCCCAGCCAAAGCAAGGGTCACTATAGAGCCGCCATTGCACTGCCCATGGCTAATAGGCCCAAGCTTATTAATTTACAGCTCCATAATGTACACGGAGACTATTGAGGGGGTGAAGTCCGTCTGACAGGCTGCCATGGAGCAGTCAGCTCTTCCAATTAAGGCTTATAGAATAGTGGCGTACAATTAAAAGTGAAGGGTGTTAATAACAGCGCTGAGGCTGCGTGGTCATATGCAGGCAGTACGAGATGGAAATGTCACGATGTGCTTTCAAATGTGCGACATGTCATTACTGTACAAGAGACATCGTGCTTACCTGACATTCTCAAGCTGTTGTTGAAAAGGTATAAATGCTGAAATAGCTCTGTCTTTAAAGAGAATGGCCAACGGATGATTTGTGTATTCTTATGCACAGTTTAAAAACAACAGATTTATAGATAGATACTTTATTGATCCCTGTAGAAGAAATTCAGGTGTCCAGTAGCAGCAAATACAAAAAATAAAACTGATCATTCTAAAAAGCTAACAATAGTAACAATCAGCCACAGTCTTTCAGGTCACAGCAGCAGAGGTGGAGTAGCCTCTGGGTGGAGCAGGACGGGTCACAGCAGCAGAGGTGGAGTAGCCTCTGGGTGGAGCAGGACGGGTCACAGCAGCAGAGGTGGAGTAGCCTCTGGGTGGAGCAGGACGGGTCACAGCAGCAGAGGTGGAGTAGCCTCTGGGTGGAGCAGGACAGGTCACAGCAGCAGAGGTGGAGTAGCCTCTGGGTGGAGCAGGACGGGTCACAGCAGCAGAGGTGGAGTAGCCTCTGGGTGGAGCAGGACAGGTCACAGCAGCAGAGGTGGAGTAGCCTCTGGGTGGAGCAGGACAGGTCACAGCAGCAGAGGTGGAGTAGCCTCTGGGTGGAGCAGGACGGGTCACCGGTTAGTTCGGACCATGAATCCTCTCTGCTCCGGTCTAGACCAGTGCAAAACCATGAACACTGTACTGCAGCAACATCTCAGGTAGAAAAAAGAAAGAAAAACATCAATTGTAAAGCACAAAACAACCATTGTTTCAGAGCTGCCGTTTTCCAGCGCATTTAAACGTAAACAAATAGCACTTTGGACTGTACTAAAAATCTGGAGATCAATGGATCATGCCCAGCAAGAAATTAATTTTATTTGTATAGCACATTTCATACACAACTGAATGTGTCGCAACAGCCACAAATCCAAAAATTCCGGCCCTTCTGTAGAGAAGCTCTTGTCTCAGTTTCCTACAATGATGTGATAGTACCACCATCACCTTCACCTCAAAAGCACTGTTTGATTTTTAAATGTTAAAATTAAACACATTCCTTCTGGAGGTTGCCTAGGGGATTACATACAGATAACATTTCTGTCTTAAAAAAACATGTTAACCAATACCAAATGTGACCTTTCTAAGAATATTTACCTCCACCATGTTTTGGAAATGTTTTAATAGACTTTGAGTGATAAATGTCCATGAGAGCTGAGGACTAACCATGTCAATGCACCATCTGGAAGTACAGTGGTTGATAAGGGACAAAATGGATGTGAGAATCGCATTATTGTTTCACAAGTGCTGATATCGTTGCTTCCACTGTGCCCTCACAAGTTTAAAGTAGGAACCATGGAGGACCACAGATTTGTCAAAGTTATATGAACATAACATAACAGCAAAGTGTCAACATCGCAAACCACGAACACAAAAGGCAAAAGGTTAAACAACAAGAGGCACGTTGTGTAGTTTGTACACAACAGACAGTTTGTACAAACACGTGAACAATACGTAACTTTCTTCACACCGACAGTAACTGTCTTCACTCCAACAGTAACTGTCTTCACACCGACAGTAACTGTTTTCACACCAACAGTAACTGCCTTCACACCGACAGTAACTGTTTTCACTCCAACAGTAACTGTCTTCACACCGACAGTAACAGTAACTGTCTTCACACCAACAGTAACTGTCTTCACACCGACAGTAACTGTCTTCACTCCAACAGTAACTGTCTTCACACCAACAGTAACTGTCTTCACACCGACAGTAACTGTCTTCACTCCAACAGTAACTGTCTTCACACCAACAGTAACTGTCTTCACACCGACAGTAACTGTCTTCACACCAACAGTAACTGTCTTCACACCGACAGTAACTGTCTTCACACCGACAGTAACTGTCTTCACACCGACAGTAACTGTCTTCACACCAACAGTAACTGTCTTCACACCGACAGTAACTGTCTTCACACCAACAGTAACTGTCTTCACACCAACAGTAACTGTCTTCACACCAACAGTAACTTTCTTCACACCGACAGTAACTGTCTTCACTCCAACAGTAACTGTCTTCACACCAACAGTAACTGTCTTCACACCAACAGTAACTGTCTTCACACCAACAGTAACTTTCTTCACACCGACAGTAACTGTCTTCACACCGACAGTAACTGTCTTCACTCCAACAGTAACTTTCTTCACACCAACAGTAACTGTCTTCACACCAACAGTAACTTTCTTCACACCAACAGTAACTTTCTTCACACCGACAGTAACTGTCTTCACACCAACAGTAACTGTCTTCACACCAACAGTAACTGTCTTCACACCGACAGTAACTGTCTTCACTCCAACAGTAACTTTCTTCACACCAACAGTAACTTTCTTCACACTAGGGTTGTCACGGTTTCAAGTTTTGAGTCACGATAGCGAACTATCTGAATGACGTCACTAAGACACGCCCCCGCCGCCTGTCAACTCCCGCCCACATGTTTCGGACAAACACTGCCAAAATGAATCAAATACCTCTTGTCACTTTAGACGAAAATGATAAACCAGGGGCAAAATTCCACCATCAAACCATCAGGGATCATAGTGTAGACCAATTAAAACGTTGGCTTGAATGTCGTGGTCTTCCAGTAACTGGTAGAAAGTTTGATTTGATAAAAAGGTAATGGTGAGGATTATGCTAACATTATCTAGTCATTTAAATTGCAATGTTAGCGCCTTCTTTGTTTATTTTGCTCTGATTAACTTCCATTTATCAAGTTGTTTTTTGTACTGTCCATTTCGTAATTAGTTTGATCATTTAGTTAACTACAGTCAGCCGATATTATAATAGATCCATGGGGTCACAACGGGCTACACCACTACTGTCTCTGAGAGAGAAACTATCGGAGCTAGCCACACTCAGTAAACGCAAACGACAATCAATCAACATATTTAAATGTTAATGCTAGAATATAATATTCATACAACACACGTGCACAGAGGTTTTCAGAATTATCTGTTAAGGTTTTCATGACAAAAATACTTTTTTAATGCGACTAAAGCGATTGCTTTTTTAAAGTAGGTGAACTAAAACCTTTGGGAACTATTTTCTTTGCACTCATTAAATAAACCTTTTGGCATGAATAGTGACAGAAGTTTATTTTGTGTGTTCAGTTGGTACAAAGCCGTATAATAAGCGGACCCCGACGCGCTTATTTTCTGATAGTCACGAAGTTGAAAAAATCCCTCTCATCTTTCTTCAGGTGTGAGAATTGTATACATTCTGGATTAGGACAAACAATACTAATATGGATTGATGGGGCTAACTACATTCAGAAGAGCTCAGACGGACCTGATACAGCGGTCCAGGTCCAGTCCCAGCTAAACGTAGCTAGGACTGGATCTGGAGGCTCCACAGTTGGTCCAGCGAAGTGTTTTGAAAAAACATGTCCTTTTTAACATTTTCATGAGAGAAATTCTGCTGACCACAAGCACCCACCTCTTGCACTTGTCCTGGTCTGGTCCTGGTCTGGTCCTGGTCTGGTTCGATGGTGTGGTTTAACGAACAGGTTGAATGTTACTGCTTTCATATAGTCCTTTTCAGAGTATCTGAAATCGCTCCCACAAGCACCATAACTGCAGTGTTTTGTTGTCACCATGATTCAATGATTTATCCCAAATAAATACACACGCTTATGTGGAGAACACAGTAGTACTCAACGGAGTCGGACAGAGTTTGTCCGAAACATGCGCGCATGCGCAGTCATTGGAACTATTTTTAGCACATTTCGGAAACCGGACAGTGCCCTATTATTGCGAGAGAAAATATGGCTACTTTACAATTTACACGATTATCAACATTATGAAAGAAAATCAACTAAGATTTTTTTTCACTGGAAAACAATAAATGGATAAATTAAGATTATCATATAATATTTGACATAATTTTATTGTGTGTAATACATTTACAATAAACATACACTCAACAAAAATATAAACGCAACACTTGTTTTTGTTCCCATTTTCCATGAGATGGACTTAAAGATCTAAAAATCATGATATTCCTTCAGCCACTTGTAGCAAACACACTAAAGCAAACACACTAAAGCAAACACACTAAAGCAAACACACTAAAGCAAACACACTAAAGCGTACACACTAAAGCGTACACACTAAAGCGTACACACTAAAGCGTACACACTAAAGCGTACACACTAAAGCGTACACACTGAAGCGTACACACTGGAGCAGACCGGTGTTTCATTCACCTTCGCGAACATTGACACTTTGCCTTTTTGACAAAGACTTTTGGCTGATGGCGTCCGTCACAGAACACGCTCTGCTGGGAGCCACTGCAGACGCACTCAACTTGGTGCTGAGAGCGGCAGTGCGTTGCGCTGCTGAGCAGATTTTTTATTTTATTTTTGTTATTATTATTATTGCTGGATCTGGCTCGCCTCGCAGGCCGTATAATTGACACCCCTGTGCTTCACAGTCTTATGATGTTCTGACCCGCTCCGAGCATTAGTCCACCCACTACAGTATGTCACAAGTTTCAACCAAACTTATTCAGGGACAAGCCTTAGATGTGCCAAACACAGAATCCACACAAAATGTGGACGCAGCTCCTGGTGAAAGCTGATAATCTGAGACTGTATTCCTAAAGATTCTTAGTGCTAAGAGTTGCTCTTAGTGGCCAAATTCTTACAATACAATACAATACAATACAATACAATACAATACAATGTATTCTTATATAGCCCTAAATTACAACAGCATCATCTCAGAGACTTAACAAAACCATTGAAATCACCACAGATCAGAGAATCAACAGTTAAAACACAAAAAGAACACATGTTAAAAAACTGTCCATACATGTTGTAATGCTGCTCTGCTCCAGAACGCACTGCTCACCATACTTACAGTTGATGGTATTTTTCACGTATTATTTTTATGTTCTTCCATTTTAATGAGGCGACAGCATGCAAGCGCCACGAACATATTGTACAACAGGCACACAGAGTCATTAACCCTTACCCTCATTACTGTGAGGCTGCTAATGCTAAAACGTCCATAATTTACTGGCAGAAAAGATTGTACATCAAGAAAAAGGAATGTCTACACATAAGATTTTATATGATAAAATATAAAGGTAAGGATTTTTTTTATTTTATTTTTTTGCTCAGCGTTTCTGCGAGTAAGTGAAATAATAATAGCACAGTTTAAAATGTTAAAGTTATTATGAGAACTTGCCTATTTTCAACAGCATTGATTTTTAAAGGTCAGTTTTCACACCCGCACCCTTTGACCTCATCTAAGCCATCGAGAGGTGATTTGGACTGAATCAGTGGCACATATAACAGTCGATCTTTCCAGGTATTTAATCCAAGAGGCAACAGAAACATAGAAAAAAGTAGTGGGCTAAGAACTGACACTTGGGGCATCCCAAATGTTAGTGAAGGATACAGCCCCACAAAGTTGGACTGAAAATCTCTGTCTGGTCTAAAACCAACCCAGTTCTGTGGCCAAGATGTCATCAAAGACTTTTAACAGAGCCATCTCTGTGTGATGACCAGTTTAAAAACCCTACTGGAAGGACTCCAGAATACCGTTTTAATTAAATACTACATAATTTGCATAAACAACTTTTGAATTAAGACATCTGTGAGCTTTCGGACAGGTCAATGGTTGGTGAGCTGCGACCAAATATGGTAAAGGAGGGGAAAACTTCACTTGTCAAGCTTACAACATTTGAACATTAAAACTATTCTTATGTATGACTCCCCCAAGAAAGTAAAAAAAAAATAATAATAATAATAATTTTGCATGAAATGTTTTAAGGACAAATGTTGGCATTTGTTTGCCTTTGAAAGTTTTAAATTAGTCAAAGATTTAAAAAAATACATGGACTTTGTAAAGAGCTTGTAATGCTGATGTTCTGGGATTGATTGGATTTTACATTGAGCACCGTCGGTTTGAGGTGAACATTATCTTCTCTGTGTCGTAGTCTGGCACATTATATATAGTCTCCACTATCTACAGCCTGAGCTCCTCTATCCAACGCCCAGCAGGTGTCACAATTAGAGCTACATGTATCTGTGCAAACATCAGGCTTCACTCCTGCTTTTACAGTTTGACATTTAGTTCAAATGCACAAAGGTTTGTTCCAAAAATGGCATCCATTAATATCACTGTTCTTGTCTCAATTTACATGCAGACCACTCTTGTTTCAGTAAACAGTACAGACCAAAAGTTTGGACACACTTTCTCATTCAATGAGTGTCCTTTCTTTTCATGACTATTGACTGTAGATCCACACCAGGCTGTTTAAGGGCCGTTTGACCAATAAGGAGAGAGATGTGGTCACCAGACCTGAACCCAGTGCGGATGGTTTTGGGGTGAGCTGGACCACAGAGTGAAGGCGAAAGGGCCAACAAGTCATTTCAGGTCACTGCCTTTTGAAGCTCATCAAGAGAATGCCAACAGTGTGTGAAGCAGTAATCAGAGCAAAAGGTGCTACTTTGAAGAACCTAGAATATACTGTAAGACATATTTTCAGTTGTTTCATACTTTCTGTATATACATAATTCTATATGAGTTAATTCATAGTTTTGATGCCTTCAGTGTGAATCTACAATTTTCATAATAATGAAAATAAAAATCTCTTTGAATAAGAAGGTGTGTCCAAACTTCTGCACATGCAGACCACTCTTCCATTCTTGTGTCAGCAATTACAGCTGCAGTCCTACAATAATATAAGCACACATTACATTGAGAAACGCATTTTAAAAAGGGGCGTTTGGAAAGAAGGGGGGGTTGACAGAGAGAACCGTATGGTCTTTTTCAGCATTTGAGCATCACAAAAGACAACAAATGGTCAAATAATGAGACGAGGATGGGTGAAAGCTCTTTTTACCCATCCATCCATCCATTTTCTTCCCCTTAATCCATTTCTGGGTCGGGGGGGTGGCAGTCAGAGCTGCACCCAGTACACATAGCACCAGCCCCTCACTGATCCTCCTGCAGGTGGTGAGTCCACAGGAGCTGAGATCTTTCAGTGGGGGCTTCAGGCAAAGTGGGGTTAAGTGTCTTGCCCAAGGACACAACGACAGCAGTCATCAGTGGGAGTCGTGAAGTAGGTCTTACGGTGGGCTTGAACCCATGACCTTCAGGCTCAAAGGCCAATGCTCTACCAACTGAGCTACTGTCGCTCTTATTACCCATTCCTTTAAAGTCAAACGTTCTCTACACCCCTGACCTCCTCCAAGTGTTGAGTGCAAACCTCCTGCTGCTCCCTGCCCTTTCCTTTGTTTGATTGGACTCTCAGCTGACTTTTCCAAAAGGTCGTCCAGTTGATCAGTTTTTGAACTTCTCTCCTGTCTGCCCCCCCCCTCACTACCACGCAGGTCTCAGAGGTCTGGGTGTTCACTGTGAAGGCC